TCCGCAATTTAGACGCTTCACGACGATTCGCTCAACCGTGACTACTGACTTGATAGCTCCACGGTCCAGAGCACTCGGCGTGAATTTTCCTCTTTGACTAACTGCTGGATTTAATGTTGAACCCATTCATTCACAACCAATTGTTGAATGCAGCGAATTCATTTTCCGCGTTGGTGGCGGGTAATAACAGTGACAATTGAAGCTGCAGTTCACACCTGGTTGTACAGTGACGGTGTGGCAAACTCTTGTTGCAGCTCGGGTGCAGGTTCAGTTCATAGACGTATCTTAACGTTAAGTGCCTCCTTCTTGCAGAATTTTTCAGACACTTGAGAACACTACCATCAGATTCTTTACCATTCCAGTGACATTTGTTGAAGTTCCTTACGCAGAGCTCTGTGTCGGTGTTACCAGGTAACAAAGGGACTATCTGTCACGAGATTCGTCGGATATGACATACATAGCCGATTTTTGATCAGTTAGGCAAAAATATTGGCTTTCATCCTTCAGTGCAACTACAGAACACGAAATAATAAATGTCGCACGATGTGTGGCCACCGAAGACAGTGGGTGCTGAGGTCATTAGGACACAATTTGATGAATCTCGAATTGCCGGAAACGGAAGCTGCCCAACTCTCTACCTAGACATTATGTAAATGCACTCGGGATGGTCTCGTATGCAGTTAGATGGTGTAGAGCAAATCCGGGGTAGCTTGAGTAGACCTACAACAGTGCAATGTTCCACACATTTGCTGCTGTACCGTGAAGTTTTAAAACACTGGGCCATAGTGGGCATTAACTTTGCCTGCACTCTCGAATATTCCCACCAACGTCACCTCAGCCATTGCCAGATTAGGCCAACAGATTCAAGCCTATACAGACACCTCAAACCAAGTGAATTACTCTGTCGACCTAAAATCAGGTCAAATTCCTGATGCGATCTCGAGGGTACTGTCGATTTGAGTTGTGCAAATTGGCTAGCAGAACACCTAGACAAGAAGAAGGATTACGCTTGAACGATTTGGGAAGATTTGTTGAAGAAAGCGCTGACATCGTTCGTTCCTTGATTAGGAGTTAAGCGGCGAAATGTGCTTCTGTGCTGCACTAATGATTTAAAGCATATTAATGATTCTGTTTTGCCACACTGACTTATGCCTTTTCAGGCTGCTCAACCAAGTCATGTTTTTGTCTCACGCTGCTAAGCATAAAAGGCGTGTATGACCAATGCGGCTTGTTGATCCATGCAGATGGGCTGAATTGGTAAAAGTACAACTGACCTCAGGGTCAGATGTGTTATGCATGTAGCAGGCAGGTCGCATCTACTAGGATGTATAAGACAACGGTCCTGCATGATCAACAAGAGTGCCGTGAGGAGGGGGCGTGGTAAGTCTAGGAATGAACTGTAATCAACACGATTTACCCCAGGTGCTTACGCCGAAATGCTTTAAACTCTCCGTTCGTAACACTCGAAGCGTAGATTGTCTGTGGTTCAAGAGTGAACGCTGCGTCGGCGATATTCACAGGTCACTCTAGCAATTGCATCACTTATTGCTGGACACTGCAACTGATTAATTAGGAAATACCGGGGAATGTCATACACCCAAGACGCGACCGTCAAGTGTAATGAAAGAAATAGAGAAGGCATGAAAACTGCGCCCGGAGGAAATTTTTCCACTATACTTCGTTTGGGTAAACGTTACATGCCAATTTCCTTCTCGGAGAAATAAATAATTGTTCAAATTAGTAGTGTCAGAGGAAGCCAGTTCAACCGCTTATGTCTGCAAAAAATTCGACTATTTGGGGAAGACTCGACTGCCGACGAGACTCGATCTTGATACAGTTACACCGATCAACGACAATACAAGTCAAATTGTGCACAAAGATACAAAACTGTGACGATTAAAACCAGTTAGGATGATGCCCGCGTTTACGCAAGACCACTACTAGGTAACCATGACTATGATTGTGTCTCAAAGTAGCTCGGACATGTTGGATATACCAAGGTGTCCAGGATAACCCAGGCCCTAATATTCTTCGGGAATTAAAGCACACGCATGCATTGTGCAGACTCCTGCAACTCTCGGATAGGTTGTTAGAGGTCAATCTAAAAAATGCGTACCCTAAAGAAGAATCTGGCCTTTTCCCAGCCAATCAAAATGTGCCGAAGTGAAGCATTGATAAATGTCTCGAGTAAACATGGCATGTGGCGGCATTTGAGGAAATGTTTGAGACGGACAACTGATGAAATGAAATGACTGATATCATCTCACTTCATTTATAAAATTATACTCCTTCTCTAGTCCCGTTTTTCGGTTACATTGATTCTAGAAAAGAGTAAATAATTTGACATGCTGCTCTTGGTTTATTTTATGTTGTAGTTTCCCAAATATACGTTCTACCAAAGGAATGCGATTTTGCACCAAATGCAACCGGCTGTACACCGCACGTCAGGCTGTTTGTTCACCAAAATGAGCGTGCACGAGGCTTGAACGGCAGTTCTAGACATAAATACATACGCCTGAATTTGCATGTAATGACACCGCACACATGACTTGTCCACATGCAAGCACTTTTGATAAGCAAATTGTGGTACATGAAGATAGGTTATTAAAAACATTCCTCGAAATGCCAAGACGGGACTGTTGCCACATTCTGCGTGTTGACTGCTTGCCATAATTTGCCAAAAACACCCAGTTTTAATACGAATCGCTAGTTTAAGCAAACTGCACTGGTAAACACTGCGTTTGACTACACTTCAGTGGGTTAATCCTAGTGGTTGACTCATTGCTCCAATCTGGACAGGCGAATCAATGCTGCTACGTTGAGGCTTATGAATCATCTCGAAACAATACTAACTCAAACGACAGACAATTTCATTAGATAGATCATCGCGAGTTTGTCAGTTTGTCCTTGCGCTGATTATTTTTAAGAATTACGAATGTGACTTTAGATTATCGCGCATTGAGAACAGAGCAAAGCGACCTTTCAATCCCTACTTTGGATGTACTTGCGATTATTATGTCTAGCCGTCCATTATTACAACACTGTCAAGGTGTAATTTGTCAGGAAGACCAAACGAAACACACGTTCCACTGCTACTAATGAACAATCAGTACTGCAAGTGACAGAATATTGCTTTCAGTTGGATTTGCATCAAAGTGAAAAACAGCCTTAACCACCCTCACAGGGGGGTGATTGAACACAGAGACGCGTTGCACATCTCTAGAGTGAAAAGACGCGTTGACATGGGAGATAGTCGCCGACGTTCTGGGCGAGTTAATCCGTGGATTATAGGGAGATAATTAATGATGCAACAGTAAACTAGTGCTCCTTACTTCAATTAAAGCTCAGGCCCGCAGCAAGGCAGGTTCGAAACACCGCTCCTCTACTATTAAGGAGTTAGTAGGGATTGTCGGTTTGATTAAGCTTCGGTTGTTAAATTCTTTATTTGCAAATGACTATTCAGCTCCACATAGCTAGTTCTCTAATAGGAATATCAGGTGGTAGTAAATAATGCATTGCTCAGGAGCACATATTAAATGTGGTAGCTAATGAGGATCCTCCAACTTACTCAAAACACACTCTTGTTGCTGAATTACGCTCTTAGAGTGAAAAGTATAGCTTGTCCAAGTTGAGACAGAGGGGTTCTCTGCAGACGATAAGTGATTGAGGAAAGGCGGTGGAACTGGAAGAGGGCTGCCACTTCTTCAGAGCTGTAAATGCGACCTATAAGAGTATTTAATCAAAATAAGAAGTAACTAATTAGCTTGGAGTCCTCTCGAGTTGATCTAACTTAAGAAAAATTTAAATAAACGGGCCATCCAATGATGGATTCACATAGTTTCAGTTTCGACTCATCCAGCTGATTAAGATCATACTGCCACGCATTATCGGCTATCCAAAAAAGGATGACTTTACATTTGAGTTAAAGAGTAGGATCGATTGACCAAACAAAGCAGTGGATCTCAAGTCGTCTCCTCACCTCCTTTAAAATATGTAGTCAAAGTCTTCGATGCGACCTCGACACCTCGATGCACTCGTTCTCGAATGTGCAAAATACAACTGTCTGCTCAGTTTTCTGTGGCCATCAAATATCAGTAGTAACACCACCTGGTCAACATTTTAGAACAGCCCCAACTAATCCATAGCTGTTGCTGGTAATTATGACTTGTCTGTCAATGCCAGAGTACGTATGTTAGGTGGAAAATGCGTTTGTGGGTTTATCATCATTTCCACTTTAACCGCGTTCTTCACCAAACCAATTTTGCACAATACTTCTCCCCATATGCCGAAACAACTGCACACACGCTCACACATGGCGATGATGATGTTAAAACGCAAGCGAACAGTTGCACCATGGAATCGTTATTTTGACACAATGGATGCACTCGACATACGTGGCATCCTCAGGCATGCCGTGATGGGTGCTGGCATATGGTGATGTGGCAGGCCCCTTGCGAATGTCAGAGAGTTAGTGTGGAGCTCTAAGTATACTCAATAGCTTCTCTTGACACCGAAGAACATCGTCAGTAGAACTAATCAATATGGATTCTGCATCATATCCTTACCTCATTTTGAATGTGTCCATAAGGATAACGAGCTAATTTACAGTTAATCGAAACTACTAAATGATGCTACCTTGTCATGGTAAATGGCTATAGTTTGGCCATCAAATTTGAACCATATCTACAGCCATAATCGTTATGCGGTCCCTATATATAATCCTTAGTATATTAATGACATATTTAAGAACAAACTTAGCTGCATGTTAAATTGTCGATATTGAATGAATTGCACTTAATATAGTCGAATCTGCGAAAGAGCATTATGCAAAGAACAATGTCAGATAATTCTGTTTAATATTTAAAAATAAAGACAAATAAATTATAAAGAACGCAATGCAATAAGCATAGACTAAAAGAAGATATTCGCGTTGCAACCTCTTGCACCATCTAACATCTGGTGTATTCTCGTTTGCTGACGAGGTCATCAACAGTCACGGTCTAAAATGGATAGAATGTAGGCTCAATCATGAGTGCAAACAAGATGGTAAAACGCCTGATCATGGCGTTGATCGGGCAATCACTACTCACTGTCAACATCTTGTCACCCTCGATGACCCGCTCGATGTGAGTGGTCTTTTCTCCAACCTGCACATGCTTCATGGTGCTGCCATCCATCGTGATGGTGGATTTCACCTTCCGACCATCTGCAGTCACCTCGTCACACTCCTCGCCCAATTTGAAGGTGAACTCTGTGTTCTTGAATGTGCTCTCGAGCTTCATGTGGTAGCGTCCGTCTCCCACACTGGTAATGGTGACGGTGGGCTTGAGCGTGTTGCCGGCTTTGCGAGCGATGAAATTCACGCCCAAATGACGCATCACCTCGTCGAAACCCTCACTCTTCGACAACTTCCAAGAACCCAGAAAAGCATCCATGTGTTGACAGCTTGGCTCAGCCAGGAAATCCTCTGTGTTGGCGGCTTGCCACCTCTGCTAAATACCCACGTCCCACATTCCCCGATTGTTTACTTGCCACTGATTGGAGCATTCTAGCCTATTGCAGCTCGCTGCATTTCTCTTGGATTTGACTTCACCTGATTTGGCACATGCTGATGTACTTTTGTTTGAGCATCTCTACCAATTCTTGAATTAATACTATTTTTGACGTCGTGTTGCTTCCATGGCTGTAACTGCTAAGATGTAAATCAACCTGCATTTGTCCGCGGTCAAGTCATCATTGTCATTTGCACAAGTTCTTGCAGATATTAGTCTCATTTCAATGCTCCAGTCAAAAAGATTCATGAAGCATTCAACAAATTCATAGTGCTTCACTATTTCGTCAATCTGTTTCGGCGCCATTTTGTTCTCACAAAATGCGTACATGAGAAACAGATCTGCCAGATGCTGCGGATTAAGTGTTATCCACCAAAAGACAATGCTTTTTTCCGTAAACGCGATTCAAATCAAAGAGACATCGACATCAAAGCCAAAGTGTATGCGTTGACATTAAAGCACTGTAAATTCAGAAGGGGATCAGGTTACTAAGCTCCTGCGTCTCTTCTCAATCATATTTTTCTGCTCTCCTTGTTCAATTTCTGAGTGCAAATTCGAATGTTGGCAGGTGGGCAAGACGGGATCCGTGTGTCACGACACCAGTGTGTTCTTTTAACACCATCGAAAACTAAATTTGCTCACACAAAAGTTGTCAGTCGTCCAAGATGCACACACGCACACACACACGCCGTTTTGGTATCGACCTCGATGTGTTCGTCCGAAAAGTGGCATTTTGTGGTTCAGTGTGCAGGCATTGAGCACACATCCAACATCGACACGACGCCATGTCTTGGGAGAGACAGCGAGCCCCAAATTGCTTAACACCAGTTGGTTTCAACGCCTGTGACTCCGCGGTGGCCATTTTAGATTGTTTACATTTCCAAGACAAATTCAGGTCAACTAGCACCCATCACTCACTCCACTCACGTACACACACGACACCCACTGCACGTTGCCTTGCTTGCAGTCATGACCACCCCGTAAACATTCAACACAATCTGTCGTTAGAAGAACATAAAGGAGATAGTTGAACGACCGTCTAGTAAAGGAATATTTGTTACTGCTTGTTGATCATTGTTCTACCACCTCCTTACTGTGCAATTCCTCCTGCCTATTAGTTGCAAAGCGAATTCACCCACGTGAACATTGCTCCAACCGCTGCAATATCGATATTTTGGCTCCATCAAATGTCAGTTTACCGCCTTCTGGTGCGCTGATTGCCACGACAACATTTCTCAAGCCGCATGAAGACGCATCTCGAGTGTGTACTCAAGGTGAACGTGTCACGCTATGCACTCAAAACTTTTGCGTGACTGGCAATGATGACAACTGAGATAAGCGCATGTACAGATTCACTAAACTGATTTCCCTTCTCCTTGATAACCGTAATTGAGATCGATTTATCGACGGACTTGTGAGGCATCAACATTATTAACCTTTGACTCTTCTAGGGGAACTAAGTTTAACTTGTTAAAAGGACAAACTATTTCGTGCAAACAAAGCCATTCATGTGAGTAACCATTGGCTCTATTCTATGAAATCTGCTTTGCGCCAAAAGTATGCATGTACCCACCTGTGGCACCAATCCTGGCGTGATTGTGTGTGTGTGCTTTGCACTCACAACTAGGCTGTGACTAGCCAATCATTTTGCCTCTCTGCGTACTGAATCAGTCCGCCATGCTATTTCGATGCTGATTTCACGAATTTATCGAGAAATATGGTTGCACACATAGCCCTTTCAACTGCATTGATGCATTAGGCTGCTGTATACAAATTAACACGTGTGTTCACATCAGCGTATCACCGAACCAGTCGTTTACATCAGTCACCATGATAAAGCTGTTTCTGCCAATTTGCCAGATTCGCCTAAATTCATCCATATTACTGGCTTAGACATGGGACAAAAGAATAGGTGAAATTGAAATCGACGGAATGCAGGCGAAGACACCGGCTACACAGTTTATGACATCAAATGAATTTGATCGGGCACCTTTGAAATATTGGCATACGGAGAGTTCCTGCTGCAGACTAAAGGGCAATGTGCGGCAAACTGAAAGAGCTGACGGTATTTCTTGGTGGTGGTGTGTCTGCCGAGGCATAATCTTGACTGTTCTTCATGGATAGCCACACACCTTCGCTGTCAGATCTTGGTCAGCCGACACATTACTGCTAATTTCGAGGAACTAGTATATTACGAAATACGGTATACAGTGGAAGTGAAAATATGTAAGAAGAGAAACGAATATCTGGTCTGAATAGCATGTGTCATAGAGTAGGAAATCCCGATTTCCTTTCATAATGAAAGCTTATTTCATTTTAAGGGTTCTGGATGCACACATTTCCCAAGGAAACCTCGCACGTCGTTGCACCACATGCACTACCACTCGACAAATGTAGTAATTTGTGAAACTAAAGTTAAGCCACAGTGCTCTCGTCTGTTCAAAGTATCGATGACATTAAATGCATTCCCTGTATTGACCGGTATTAGCTGAAATCAGGAAATAGAATTTCGACATTCACACCTGAAAATAAAGACGACGAAGTAGAAGACAGTTAAGTGTGCGTGAATTGGTCTGCCTGCATGCTTGTAATGTAATTACATAAACGCCAGCACACACAATGTGAGTACACGTAGAAGTGATGGCATCATGTGTGAGTGTGAATTCACGTTGTCGAGTGCCTTAGCAACTTTATGTTGACAAAATTTCTTGGTTTCATCAAACCCTCTTTAGTAGAAATATGGATCCAGTGGTTTTCAGATCGAGAAACCAGGTCATTGCAAGCATGAGCAGGTCACATATTTACGAAACTCGACAACATGAACATCGCGCGCTCACACACGATCACAACCATTAATTCATCCTCTAGGCTAGGCGCTGGTTTGTTTGTCATGAATTGAGGTGTTGAGGAAAATACCATTTAATTTTGCCAAAGCACGCATTCTCCTCTAAGCACAATCTCGCAAACAATGCAGGCTGGGGTTACATGATTTGATTTATAAAAAATACATTAGTCGATCTACGAAACCTTTCATTGATTATTGTATTCAAAATTGGAATAAATGGCACGAAACAATATCAAATTCCCGTTTTAACTAGTTTTATTTGTTCTGAGAAGGTAAAATGATTTCATTTGTAACATCACGAATCCTGTTAAATGAGACCCTCCACTTGTGCCAAAATACGTCTTTGAGCGATATCTTACTAATACTGCCGATCGTGATGCACCTGGTCCAATGTAACACAAGGAAACGCGTCAATATGAAATGGAGAATTAAAAAATCACTTCCAATGAAAAAACGCTTACATGTTCACTCGGTTATTAACGATTGCTTGAGTGGTCGAGCAAACACATCAGTGGCAACTGCAATTTGGAATTAAATGCAACCATTAGAAGTGCTTCAACATGCAAGCAGCGACCAAAGCGGTAGTTACATAGCACAACAGCAGTGACCTCAATAGATTGTTGATGCCTTACAATTCTGTCAACAAATCAGCCTCAATTACGGCTATCAAAGTGAAGGAAAATCAGTTTAGTGAATATGTACATGTGGCAATCTAAGTTATCATAATCGCAATTCACGTACGTATTAATACTGCATACCGTGACACGTTCAAACTGAGCCCGCATTCGAGTTGCGTATCCATGAGGCCAGGAAAATGTTGTCGTCGCACACAGCACACCACAAGTAGGTAAATGGGCATTGGATAGAGCTGAAATAACGACATTGAGTTGCGTCGATGTTAAATGCCTTATCGCAAAGCCGGCAACACGCTGAAACCCACCGTCACCATCATCATTGTGAGAGGCAGATGCCATCACATGAATCTCGATAGCGCATTCAAGAATACTGAGTTCACCGAGTTCAAATTGGGCGAGGAGTGTGACGAGGTGACTGCAAATGGTCGGAAGGTGAAATCCACCATCACGATGGATGGCAGCACCATGAAGCATGTGCAGGTTGGAGAAAAGACCACTTACATCGAGCGGATCATCGAGGGTGATAAGATGTTGACCGTGAACTTTGATTGCCCGACCAAAACCATGATCACACGTGGTGCAACCTTGTTTGCACTCATGTTTGAGCATCCACTCTACCCATTTTAGACTGCGACTGTTGAAGACCTCGTCAGCAAACAGGAATACACCAAATGTCGGACAGTGCAAAAGGTTACAGCGCGAATATATTTGCTTAATCTATGCATATTTCATTGCTTTCCTTATACATTATTTTACCTTTTGCTGAGACATCAATAAAGAAGCCGACATAGATTTGAGACATAATTCGTCAAACTGAAAAATGGGGATTAAATTTATTTTAATGAAGTGCGTCAACAAAGCTAGAAAAAGTGTTGTTAGAAATGCAGTGGTGATATTTGGCACATCGAAAGTACATCAAGTCAAGCAATCCAACATGCTTCAAGGTTCAGCTTGAGTAGAATGCACGTTAAATTGCCACTCCATGCATCGATGAAGCTCGCTGATTGGTTCAAACACACGGTGCACGATGCTCTCGAGCCATGGGTACCTCGTTAATCAACAGCCTCTGCACACAAACACACATATATAAGCAACGCGATTTTCTGTTCGCACCAGTCTGCAAAGCCGTTCAAGCAAGCACATCATGGAGCAATTCGTGGGAAAGTGGGAATTGAAGAAGACCGAGAACTTTGACAAACTCATGCATCAGTTGGGGGTGAATGCCATCCTCGCGAAATTGGGCAACACCCTGAAACCCGACTTCATAATCACCGACTTGGGTGATGGAATGTACGAAATGAAGGTAGACAGCATCCACAGCAAAGGCACGTTCAAATTCAAGTTGAACGAGGAGTGTGACGAGGTGACAACAGACGGTCGACACGTCAAGTCAACAGTCACGGTGAACGGCAACACAATGAAACATGTGCAGGTTGGCGAGAAAACCGTCGACATCGAGAGGGTGGTCGATGGTGACATCATGAGCGTGGTAAGATGACATTGGCTTGTGCTCAATCGTGTGTGCTGTTTTGCCATTATCAATATACTCATCGCCATTTTCGCACCATTTTAGACCGCCAAGGTGGACGACGTTGTCTGCCATCGAGAATACAAGAAGAAGTAAACGGCACACCTGCAGGTCAAGCGGATTTCGTCTTGCAATGTACATGCAGCATTGGAATACAGTAATTTGCATTTGGCAAACATGACTTCTCTACCGAGGGCGGTAATTCATTTGGGGGCAAAATCGGTTGTTGCATGCTGAACGAATTCACCAAATTGCAAAATGTCAACCGAGTGCTTTGTAGTTAGTCAGAGTTATGGAATATCATTGTTCTAGATTGTCGAATGCCTGGCGTTGGTTTTGATGAATAAAATCGGGAAAACATTATGGCAGACCACAACCTACGATTAGTGCCACACTAGGGCATGAAATTACTTTCAAATCAAAGGTGGATGAAGTTTTGAAATGATAAATCGACGTACTTCGCAAGTGGCTTGCCACATTGCCATATGCCAGCAGTTGCAACACCATGCCTGAAGATGCTATATTTGTCAAGTGCGCCCATTGTGGCGACGTCTGTGGGCGCAGACATATTTGACACTAGCCTCAGCCAATCCTGTGTCTCTCTGCGTTCCAATGGCATGCGAGGAAGATAAGCAGCTAACCAGAGAATGACACGAATGAGGTGCAGTATATAATTAGCGTCTTGGCCAGTGTGGTGGACTCGGATGAAAGGCGCCTGACATGTAGTTCTGGCTTATGATTTATCAATAAAGCCTGTACTTTTGCACCTGTCTTCTTCCTATTAGGGCTCAGGTATTCAACACCATGGTGTGAAAATAAATAGGGTGGGATGAAAATGGTCGCTTGCATATTTCTATGATCATCGTCATCATTATCATGCGCGAATGTGTGTTCAGATGTTTCGTTTTTATTGTTAAAGTCGAAGCGATGACATTGACGCAAATATATTTTTAATGAGCATATTGCTGTCGAGGTTCCGGCATGTTGACTAGAATCGCACCAAGGCTACTGACTTGAATCAAGTCCGATAACGCTTTGGTGATATCCGGAGAGGATGGAGCACAACCGAGCGATGAGACTGCCTGTCCGAACTCGATTGCTTTCTCCTCAAAGCCACCCATGTCAAGTAGGTTTGCGCTGGTTTGCTACCGATCCCTTGTGAGTAGCTACAGAGCCCCGCCTCAGTTTAATCTAATTCGTGCTTTGCTGCACAAGATGCGGTAACGTTTACATTGCCATCTAAATTCACCTGACGTTAGTGATTGCACTTTTTAACGCCTAGGAAAAACTAGAACATGATGGACTTGGTTGTGGGGTGTTTGTGGTCTTTATTACGAGCCCTTGGCTTTTACCACGTGTGTTTTGTCATCTCGCCTAGTTACATCTCACCGACCAACCGAACGCCTCAATGTTCACTCTTGTTGTCGTGCTCTGGGGGGCTACTGCCGCCACACGACTTGAACCAATGCTGTGTCGGACCAATTCAGGTCTACGCTCGACTCCTCGACGTCAATTCCCCCGAGGTACGCACTCGTGCTGGTGCTCAAAACCCACCAGGAAGCTGATAAGACCTTGGCTAACAACTGAGTTGGTGCCACAAACGTTACTTCTGTTTTGTTACACTTCAGTTCTCCACATCATCAACTTCAAGTGAAACTGAATTCGCGGCCAAATCGATAACCAAAGGAAGTGCCGCATCAGTGAACACAGTTTTCGGCGTGGTTGGAAGCTCTTCAGCCCGAGTCTTATTTCCCGAACTCACTGCGGTTCCATTGGTTGTGTGAGTTTCCTTCCTGGTCTTGGTTACTATGATGATGTGCTCTTCCGCTTTCGTCACTGCTAAAACACCTGCACACATCGCAAATAGTAAAAGCAGGATGGCTTTGGTCACTCGTAGTGCGGTTTTTACTAAAGTAAGTTTGTACAACCCGCGACCTTCAAAATCGTCTGAGCAGATTACGAAGGCCACTCATGCTCTGAGGTGACCTGTCGTCAAACACCACGTTGCCACTTCGTTTTATCGTGCTATTTGCAGCCAAATTTCATGCATAGTTGCAGAAGTTGCTGAAACCTAGTATCCAGTAACCGCCGCTAG